TCTGGTGAAAATTTCATGTCATTAGCACCTCTAGTAATATATTTACTGAGAAAAATGGTGACGTGTTCAATACTTATTTTACCCGCTGTATATTCTAAGACAAAATGTCTTTGAGGAAGAATTTCTTTATATAAAGTTTTCACAGCAGTCTTCTCCAAACTGTTATCATATTTAACAATCGTAATAACACAGATGTCTTGTCCTAAATTCAAAGTATTCCAACATTTTAAGACAAAAATAAGCTATTCTTGCACTTAAACACATTTGTTTTATCACCAGCATCTCATTCTGTGCAACAGGTAATGCTACGCTCTCTTTTACAATTGCTTAGTCAGTTAACTATTTGACACACATTTTAAAAATAAATAAAACGTTCACAACAAGCAGATTTGTCCTAACTGAAGGCAAGCTTTATGTTTTACAAACCTCTAAGCAACTTCGAACTCGTGAAAGGACAAAAAAGCTTGTTTCATTTCAGAAATTACTCCAAACAAGACGTTTTTAAAATTACTTAAGACTTTCAAGATGCATTGTCTCAAAACAAAAAGTTTTGATTTGTATGAAGCGCTGATGAGAGGTTTTGTGAAAAATATACTTGGTAAGATTTTGTGTTTTTTTTTTTTTTGCAGTGAATGCTTTTTGTCCCAACAGATTCCTCCTACAGATCATTTTATTCCTCCAGCAGTGCTCCAGTAGTGATGGAGCTGGACCAGCCCGTGTATGTGGAGGTGTTTGTTGTCAAACACCAGAACAAAGACCTGGCTCTGCTGCTCGAGGACTGCTGGGCCACACCGACTGAGGACCCCCATGACCCACAGAGGTGGAACCTAATGGTTAAAGGGTGAAGCTTGGTGTATTTATTTGTGAAATACCTTTCATTATTATTATTATTTTTAATTTAGACCCAAAAAAACTCAAGAGGGGTTGTTCTCCATCCGATGAAGGTGTCCCTTCACCGGTGATAACCCCAGAACTGTTGTGCAGCCAGTCTCCAGTAAGGAAACATCAAACCCCTGCCTTCACAAAAGGTTTGTTGTTAAGCACTTCTCTTTTGTGAAGTCTCCAACATCTGAAAACCAGGTGAGTAAAATAAACGGGAGAAAAAGAGTTGTTCTAGTAGTGTCATCAGTGTGTTTTTCTACACAAACACCTGTTTTTCTTCAGGTATATTTCCACTGTAACATAGAGATCTGTAAGGGACCGGACTGCTTCCAACACTGCAGCGATGGTGAGTCGAGTTCAGAGCAGTTTACAGATTTAAAATTTGTTAAGAGTCACCCCTGATCCATCCACAGCTAACAGGTTGTGCAGCAGATCTTGCAACATTATGTGTTATTGTGATGACCTTGTTTTCAAGATTTTACTAAAACATAGTTTAACATATTTTTTTTACATTTTCTTTCTTATTTTATCTTACCTTTTTATTCTATTTTTACCTATTCATATTATCTTTTTTAAACGTTCTGATTTATTTGCATTACAGGAGCTGCAAAATTATTTTGTTCATTGTCTGTGGACCTCAGTGTCATGTGCAACAATGACAAAATCTTGTCTCAAAAACTCTTGTTTGAAAGATGAACATTGCTTCYAGTAATGGCAGATCTTTAATATAGTTTTTATTCAAATCAGCAATCTCAATGTACTGAATCTTGTACAGARGTCAGGATTTGCTTCAGGACAAATGATGTCGAGCTACACAAACCAAACTGTTACTCTGTTTGCCTTTCAGAAAAGCCTAAACTGAGAGGAACCCCACCAGGAAAAGGGCAGAGCATTTCATCCAGCACTGTTTCAAATGGACCTCTTCTCTATCAGCTGTGAATATAGACGAAGAACAACTTTGTCATTTTGCAATGACTGAAATAGCTCCACAAAGAATTGCTGTTTTAAAACATTAAAAACACATCTAAAACTTGGCTTCTGTTACATAATTAATAGAATGTGCTCATTTTGATCAATTAATCTTCAAAAATGGTAACCCCAATGTATGTGTTTGCCTTTTCAAAGTTGGTTGTTCATAAGACATGCTCAAACTTTCTGAGATATCAGTATGTAAATTAGGGCTGTCAAATGATTGATATTTTTAATCTGATTAATCCCAAAGTAGCTGTGAATTAATTATGATTAATCTTAAATTTAATGTACATTTCTATTACATATTGATAAAAATAAATTGCTTGAGTTATTATTAGTTTTTGTTTTTATTTAAGCCATAAGACAACAAAATGAAAAAAACTTTACCTAATGTGTTACACATGGAGATTTTACTTTATTTAACCTTTATTTGTCCAGGTAAACTGTTTGAGAACCACTTCTCATTTACAAACATGACCTGGCATGCACTGAGTGCATTGCATTATAAAAATCTACATATTCAGCCATAGTAAAGTGATTGTAAATTTTAACTGCAATTAAAAWTTTTAATCTATGGCCAGGCAGCACCAAAATTAATCAGTTGACTCGATTAATTTCACAACCCTAATGTAAATAAACAGTTATGAAAGTGTTATGTAATTGAGCATGTTTGAAAATTAGTGGTGAAACTGGATTACAGGGGTATATTTAAAAAGTAATGGCTTTAAAGTTGGCCATAAAATGTGCATTTTTACCAGAAATGCTGTATCATAATGCTTTTAAAAATCTACATGCATTTTTGTCAACAGGACTTTTATTTTGGCAGGTCTTTTGTGTCACGTGACCACGTTTGGACCAATACCAGTAGAGGATGGGTCTGTGTGCGGAAGTCTTTTGGGCATCGTGTTTTTTTCAAACGACTGTACATGTAGCGAAGTTTAGAAGCTTCTGTGTCGGTCGATAAACGGTAACTTGTAATTTCAGCGTTTCAGTCCGTAATTTTGTGGCATTAACAGCTTTACAGTGTGGTATGGTTTCGTAAAGTTGTCGGCTATGTCCAAAAAAACGAGTAGGAAACGAAGCGACAGCGAATCAAAACACCTTCCAATCTATCGGCACAAAATCAAATTAGTTCAAGCTGTTAAAGACAGCACCTTCRTACTAGTCACCGGTGAAACAGGAAGCGGGAAAACCACACAACTTCCTCAGTACCTGTATGAAGCAGGTAAGCTGTCACTTCACTATCTAAAAATGAAGACTACGGTAATGTATTAGTAAACACTATTAAAAGACTATTTCTACTGGTTCGGTTGGTCTGATAAACAGTACAGCTCCTGTGTATATGTGACTTTCATTGTGGGTTTTTTCTCTTGCCAGGTTTTTGTAAAAATGGTAAAGTTGTGGTCACCCAGCCCCGTAGGGTGGCTGCTATCACGGTGGCCCAGAGGGTGTCTCAGGAGATGAAGTGCACTCTGGGAAAAGAGGTTGGATACCAAGTACGCTTTGATGACTGCACATCACAGGTGAGACGCAAACGATCCCTCCCTCCCTTCAGAAACTATCAGGTCAGTGCTGACACACAGATTGTCTGAACCAGGACACAGCGGTGAAGTACATGACCGACGGCTGTCTGCTCAGAGAGGTCCTAGCAGATCCTGCGCTGTCTCAGTACAGCGTCGTGATATTGGATGAAGTTCATGAACGCAGCCTGAATACAGTAAGTTGAGTGTAATTGTGTTGTGTTATCACAATAACTTATTAAATATACTTTGCTCTGTCCCCACACAACTCCTCCAAACCCTCATGCCACAACCCCTCCACATCCTCCTTCACTACATCCATGAGATGTGATTTTTGTTTTTACCGCCCACCAGTAACCATACGGGCTGTCCCTCATGACTGACCTCAGGGACCTAAACTCGTCCACCTGCTCCCTACTCTCACTACAGTTCATAGTGTTATCTGAAAATATCCTTCCCGCATTGTGTCATCCTATCAAATCAAAATGTATTTCTTTGTCCCAGGCCTCCAATGCACACGTTAAGTTGGTGTTTTTTTAATCTTATTCCAGGACATTCTTCTTGGCTTGTTGAAGGACCTCTTCTCTAACCCCTCTAAGGCCGCTAAGGGCCGAGCGTTCCCTCTCAAAGTGGTGGTGATGTCTGCCACTTTGGAAGCTGATAAACTTTCAGTTTTTCTCAGCAACTGTCCGGTCTTTACCATTCCTGGTAGGGTATTTCCTGTAACGTGCACATTTGGCTCAGCTGTTGGGCCGAAGGATGCAGAGAGCACGTTTTACGTCAAAGAGGTACTGTTTTATACCTGTATTTTCTGTGTATTACAGTACCTTTAAACTCAAAGCTCCACTCCTTTTGTTCCCTTTTTATTTATTTATTTATTTTTTGGCTTTACAGGTGGTTAAAGTGGCTCTGGATGTGCATACCAGTGAAATGGCTGGAGATATTCTGGTATTTTTGACAGGTAAGTTTGTGATTATTACAATCAATTATCAAGATGACAATATGTGTAAGGACTTTAATAAAATTTTCAAACTTTTTTAGAGCTGTTTTTTCCTTTTGTACTCGTAAGGCTCTGTGTACAGATGCTATGCTAACTATTTAGTTTTTTTTTAATAAGACCACCCATTAAAGGGATCCACAAAAACCTGACCCACACGCTGCCGGGATCGGCCAGCGCGTTTATCAAAGTCCCTAATATGTGCTGAAATTTGAACATGATTTCCCTTTTAAACTGTTTAACAGGCCAGTCAGAGATTGAGCGTGCCTGCGACTTGATGTTTGAAAAAGCCGAATGCATCGACTATCGCTACGATGTGCAAGACCAAACAGTGGCGGGTCTTCTTATTTTACCTCTTTATGGATCAATGCCCACCGGTGAAGGCTTACAACAACTCTAATTCTTTTATTTTTATTTGTTGATTGATTGCTTCCAGAATTCGTACAATGATTTTTGTCTCTTTTAAGATCAACAGAGGCAGATCTTTCAGCCCCCACCTCCAGGAATAAGGAAGTGTGTCGTAGCTACAAACATAGCAGCAACATCTTTAACCATCAATGGCATCAAGTGAGTGAGATTGATGGTTCTACTGGTTTGCTGTGTAATTCTGCCTTTTAATGTGGGAGAAATGCTTAGGTTAAAAATGAACAGGATTACAGTGTTTTTTTTCTGCACCGGTGATCTTACACACGACCCAAAACCTTTCCAGCAATATTTCAAACTATTTGAAGTGGGATTCTGGAGGGAAATTAAATTTAAGTGCTTTCATTGGTGGGTCAGGTGGAAGTCACCCACGGGCCACATACGTCTTCTATGAAGTGGTGAAAAACATTTTTTCTATCAAATTTGAATCCTTGACTAGATGATACTTTTAAGCCTGGAGGTCCCAACAAACAAAGTTGTGTTTTTATGGGTGAACCGTGACTTTAGAAAACTACGTTTGTTCTCAAGTTCATAAGATAAACATTTCTTAAGCCCTTCCTTTTGAAATCACGACTATCTCCTGTAGGTACATCGTGGACAGCGGCTTTGTGAAGCAGCTCAATCACAACTCCAGGGTGGGCATGGATGTGCTGGAGGTGGTGCCGATTTCAAAGTGAGTTTTTGGGAAGACGGCCACGCGTTCAGGCGAAGCTCGGCAGCAGAAGCTGGATTTGTGTCACTTCTCTGTCCGACAGGAGCGAGGCGCAGCAGAGAGCCGGTCGAGCTGGAAGAACCTCTGCCGGGAAGTGCTTTCGAATTTATACCGTGGAATTCTGGGAGAAGTGCATGCCCGAGTACACGGTTCCTGAGATTCAGAGGACGAGTCTGACGGCAGTGATTCTCACGCTCAAGTGTCTGGGTGTTCACGACGTGATCAGGTGCACGCTTTGCTTCACTGTCTTCTTTTGTTTGTTGTTTATTCAGAGACTAAATAATTCATTATAAGGAGTTTAATTTCATTTCAGGTTTCCTTATCTGGACCGTCCGGAGGAGAGATTTATTCTGGAGGCACTAAAGCAGCTCTTCCAGTTTGATGCCATTGACAGGTGAGCGTTGGTTGTTCAAGCAGAGCAGCAGCAGATGAAGCAGTGAACGTGACCTGAACTCTGTCTGATGTAGGAGAGGTAAAGTGACCAAGCTTGGGGAGCTGATGGTGGAGTTCCCTTTGCACCCGGGTCTCACCAGGGCTTTGCTCAAAGCTGCTTCACTTGGCTGCCAGGACCTGCTGCTTCCTMTGGCGGCCATGCTGTCTGTGGAGAACATCTTCATCAGGCCAGGTCAGCAGATGCAGCTTTTTGAAACCAATGAAACTCAAAACTTTGTTGAGAAAACGAAAGCAGAGCTCTAGAGTGCGACTAATTTGGTCGCAAATGCAACCTGATTTTTTAATAGTGCACCTTAAAGGGATCCCCGATGAGTTGTAACATTAGACTTCATATGATAAACTTATACTTTAACTGTAAAATAAAGACTGTAAAAATTCTGTAGGATGTTCAG